TGTGTCAGTATGTCTGTCAGTGCGTCAGTATGTCTGTTAGTGCATGTGTATGCATGTGTCAGTATATCTGTCTGTGTGTCAGTATATCAGTCTGTGTGTGTCAGTGTATGTGCCTGTGTGTGTGTGTCAGTATTTCTCAGTGTATGTGGGTGCCAGTATATCTGTCAGTGTGTGGGTGTCAGTATTTCTGTCAGTGTATGTGTGTCAGTATGTTGATCAGTGTATGTGTCTGTGTGTGTGTGTGTCAGTATGTCGGTATATGTGTCTGTGTGTCAGTATGTCTGTATATGTGCCTGTGTCAGTATGTCTGTCAGTACGTCTACCAGTGTATGTGTCTGTGTGTGTGTCAATATATGTACCTGTGTCAGTGTGTCTGTCAGTGTATGTGCCTGTTTATCTGTATGTAGTCAGTGTATGTATCTGCTTGTGCGTCAGAGTGTGTACCTGTGCATCTGAGCCGCAACTTTAAATACAAATACACCCCTCCATTCAAACTTCAACACTACATATAAAACACACTCCTGCATTGAAACGTCAACACTACATACAAGCACACTCCTACATTCAAAAACAAACACTACACATAAATGCACACTTGCATTCAAACTCTAGTACCACATACAAACACATTCACACAAACATACTCCATACAAACACATGCTTACATTCAAACATACTAACATGGCTCAGTGCTAAATACAACCCTGTAAGCATGGGAAATTGGTAGAGTCCCAGCTGTCAAAGCATTGTTGGAGTTGCACGACAGATGGGGTTCTACCTTTAGTCCAACCTTGCAATTGGGGGTCCCAATAAAATTCATTCTACTTTAGTACCGCCACTGCGTTGGGATGGATGCCGTGATTGCATACCAGGGAGTGAGGGGCAAGAGCGGCAGGGCACTTGCCCAGCAAACACTTGCCCAGGGTCCATTCGTTATTAAAGACGGCCCTGTTGAAACCCCCAAAATTATGCTCAGCTAAGTCTTCTGAGTAAAACAATATGCCCAGTGTATGACCTAGACACTATTTTGTGAAGTTACAGTGCTGTAAAAGAGACGTGACAAGTTCAGGTTTTTAAGTGTGAATTTTCATGGAGGGTTTTGATGCGTCCGTGTTCCACTTTGGAGCACTTGAGCAGGCTACATATTACAACTACACCATAAAGGCATACCATTTCTTAAAGAAGACATCCCAGGGCAATTCAAAAGGCATATTTTGAACCTTAGTGTGGGATCATTTTTCCGCTAGCTTGTACCAAGTGTAGTGGTAATGAGCATTTTTTTAATGTATTTTTTACTTTGTAACACTTTTTTTACTTTGTAGAACCCATTTTTTTTAAAACTTTTTTTTTACTTATTAAATGTTTTACACTTTCTTAACTTTTTTTTACACTTTTAAATTTTTTTCTAAACTTTTCTTTTACCGTTAACCCCTAACTAGCAGTAAGCAGCATTAACAGTAAATTCCCCCCATTCCCATACCTCCCACCCACTCCAGCTAGCAAAATATATATAATTATAAAACGTTTAAATTACGTAATTTAAATAAATTGAACCCCTTAGGGTTAAAAAATAAATAAAAGTTAATCCTCAGGGGTTAAAAGAAATTAGATTACAGTATAATACTGTGATCTGTATTTTGATCACTGTAGGCAGTGATCAACTGGCAGGAAGGGGTTAATTTTTATTTAGACTGGGTAAAGTGGGTGGTATTTTTTTATTTTTTTACTTAAACGTTACTAAAACATTTTTTTTAAACTTTTTTTTTTTAACCTTTTTAAAGCTTATTTTAAAACTTTTTTTAACGTTAACCCCTAGTTAGCTTAACACCAAATTCCCCAATTCCCCACTAACTTTCACCCATCCCAGCTAGCTAAATATATATTTTTTTAATTAATTAATAAAATAAATTTAACCCCTGAGGGTTAAAAAAAAAAAAGTAATTAACCCTCCGGGGTTAAAAAAAAAAATCAGATGACATTGAAATGTATACCCTGCCAATTGATCACTGTAGTGGTCACTGTAGTGATCAATTGGCAGGGAAGGGGTTAATTTTATTAAAGCAGGGGAAATGGGGGGGTGGGATTTAACCTTTTTTTTTGTTTTTGTTTTTTTTGTTGTTTTTTTACACAGCGAGAAGATCAGCAGCACTGATCCGTCTCCCTGCACAGAACCCGGAAGTGCAGGGAGGCGGAAGGTGAGTATAGCGAGCACCCATGTTGGGTCAGCCCGATTGGGTGCTCCCGGTCTTCCTCTAATACAGAGGCAAACCGGAGCACCGTTAACCCCGCGATCACGGTGATCTGGGGTTAACTTTAGTAAATCACGGAAATTTTCCGTCAACGGTCCTTAACTGAAGGACAAGGTTGACGGAAAATTTCCGTCTGCGGTCAGGAGGGGGTTAATGCAAGGTTTTTTTTTATTATTGTTTTGAATAAATTTTATCTACTTTTATCCTTACTGGCTCTGCCTTTCCTGTTTTTTTACTACTGAGGATCAAGTTATCGCTAAACTTCATCTGGAGCTATAATAATACACCCCATACTATATATTATATGCGCTGTACACTACTTTGTATTTTCTGTGTTTAATAGGTGGACTTGACGTGATTAATTCTACAGTGTATTCTAGCTGCATTTGGGCTTAAATAGCGCCATATATTACACATTTGATTTGCATATTTTTGTGGAATAATAACCTGGCCAAGAGAAGAACTAGTCACCATGGATGTCAAGACTTGGAAACTACTCCCTAAGAATGGATGTTTCCACCCGAAATATAGCGCCCAGATACTGTACACAAGCCAGAAGTAAGGAGGTCGGGTCCTGATGAGTGTCAATGCCACAGTACTGGATGAAGCACAGAGCATCCACAAGTACATCTCACAGATGGCTTCCAAAGATGTACTGCTAAGGGAATGCCTGACACAACAACAGATAGAGGATGCAGAAAAGTAGGTTACATGATAAGACCAACCTCTCCATGGGGTGTACCACCAGCAGGTATTGAATGTGGCTCAGAATTACAGCATCCTACCTGTGGTTGGAAAAGGCAAGACTAAAAGACAGCACTCAGGCACTAATCCTAGCAGCACACAAACAGGCACTCGGCACAAGAACAATAGAAGCAGAAGTCTACCACACCAGGCAAGACCCAAGGTGCAGACTGTGCAAAGAGACCTCTGAGACAATCCAGCATATACTAGCTGGGTGCAAGATGTTAGCAGGAACAGAATACACTAAGACGCACAAACATGTTGCTGGGATTGTGTACTAAAACATTTGTACAGAATATGATCCAGACAGACAAGCAAGTACTTGCCAACCAACATGACATTGCGGTGATAAACCAGAAACAGAAGGCTGCAGTGGTGGCGAATGTAGTAATACCAAGTGACCATAACAGGAAGAAGAAACAAGAGAAGATGGACACATACCAAGGACTTAAAGAAGAGCTAGAAAGGATGTGGAAAGTGAAGGCAGTAGTAGTAGTCCTAGTTGTAATTGGAGCACTCAGGGCTGTGACCCCTAGGTTGGGGGAGTGGCTTTAATAGATTCCAGGTGGAACATCTGAGATCACTGTCAAGAAGCATGCAGTTCTTGGAACAGTTAACATACTGTGATAAACTCTTTAGTGAAAAGAATACGGAGTATAAATGGAATATCTTCAAACAAATATTAGAAAGGTATATTTCTCAGTATGTACCATTGGGTAATAAATATAAGAGAAACAATTTGAAACACATGTGGCTTAGTGGGGAAGATAATCAATAAACTACAAATAAGAAAAGGGCATTCAAATCATTTAAGTTTGGCAAATCAGAGGCATCCTATAAAAAATATTAGGAAGCCAATAATGTGTGCAAAAAGGCAATTAGATTCGCTAAACTTCAAAATGGAAAAAAATGATAGCCAAAGAGAGTAAAACCAACCCCAAAGTGTGTTTTTTTTTTTTTTTAAGTACATGCATTTAAAAAAAATTAAAGTGTAGGTACACTAAAAAAAACTGGAATGGTGGGGTTCGTTAATGAAGACCAGGAAAAGGCAGACATTTTAAATAACTTTCTCGTGTGTGTGTGTATGTATGTATGTATGTATGTATGTATATGTGTATATATGTGTATATGTATGTATGTATGTATATATATATATATATATATATATATATATATATATATATATATATATATATATATGAAGAACTGATGGCAATAGATGTGCAAATGATTGCTGCTAGAAACTTGCAGAAAAATTGTAATTGACTAACTCGACAAGGTGCTGCAGCAACTAAACAAAGTTAATATAAACAAAGCTCCAGGGCCTGACGGTATTCATCCACGAGTACTTAAGGAACTAAGTGTAGAAATAAGCGAACCTCTGTTTTTAATTTTTCAAGATTAATTTCTTTCAGGAAGTGTTCAGGAGGATTGGAGGAAGGCCGATGTGGTTCCTATATTCAAAAAGGGTTCAGAATCCTTGCCTGGAAATTATAGACATGTGAGCTTAACTTCTGTGGCTGGAAAAGTATTTGAAAGCTTATTCAGGGATAATATTCAAGAATTCCTTGAAGAATGTGGCTATCACAAAAATCAGCATGGTTTTATAAAGAACAGGTCATTTCAAACTAAGTTGATTACATTCTACGAAGAAGTAAGTAGAACTATAGATCAGGATGTTGCAGTGGATGTGTTCTATTTTAATTTTTTTGTGTTCCAAGGCATTTGATACAGTTCCACACAACAGATTAGTGTTCAAACTCAAAAAAATCGGTCTAGATGAAAATTTATTTTTCTTGGGTAGAATATTGGCTTGAAAATGGAGTACAGAGAGTTGTCATTAATGGTAAGTTTTTTTTCAAGCTGGACAGAGGTGGCAAGTGGTGTCCCTCATGGTTCTGTTCTGGAACCTCTTCTATTTGACATGTTTATAAATGATCTTGAAAAAAGCAGATGACACACAACTCTGTAAAGTAGTACATTGTGAGGAAGATATTAATTTGCTGCAAAGGGATTTAGATAGACTGGGGAACTGGGCACTCAAATGGCAGATGAAATTTAATGTTGAAAAATGCAAAGTTATGCACTTTGGTGTAAAGAATGCACAAGCAACGTATACCCTTATTGGAAGTGAATTAAGGAGAACCACACACGAAAAGGACTTGAGAATTGTTATAGACAACACACTATGCAACAAGGTGCAATGTCAATATGCAGTGTCTAAGTCCGGTAAGGTATTGTTATGCATGAAAAAAGGCATTCATTCTCTGGGTGAAAATATAATTTTGCCTCTTTATAAATCACTGGTAAGACCACATGTTGAATATGCTGTGCAATTTTTGGGCACTTGTTCTAAAGAAGGATATTATGCCACTAGAAAAAGTGCAGAGTTGGGCTACAAAATTAATAAAAGGAATGGAACATTTTAGCTATGAAGAAAGGTTAACAAATTTAAACATCTTTAGTTTATAAAACCGTTGCCTTAGAGGGGATATGATAATATTATACAAATCTATCCGAGGCCAATACAAACTTTTGTTTGGAAATCTATTCACAAACCGGACT